TAACAGTATTACCCTTCAAAAGTTAGGGGTCAGTAATATATTTTTTTAAAGAATTGAATGCATTTATTAATCAAGGATGCATTCTGTTGATCAAAAGTGTAAAATTATAATGTTACAAAAGATTTCTATTTCAAATAAATAATTGATTCATTGAAGAATCCTGAAAAAAGTGTATAGTAGTTTAAAAAATATATTAAGCAGCACAGCTGTTTTCAACTTTGATAATAATAAAAAAAAATTCTTGAGCACTGAATCAGCATATTAGAATGATTTCTGAAGGATCATGTGACACAGAAAACTGGAGTAATGATGCTGAAAATTCAGCTTTGCATAACAGGAATAAATTATATTTTAAAATATATTAAAATAAACTTTTTTTTTCAATTGTAATAATATTTCACAATATTGCAATTTTTACTGTATTTTTGATCAAATAAATGCAGCCTTGCTGAGCATAAGAGACTTCTTTTTAAAAAAGTAAAAATCTTGCCTGCCCCAAACTTTGAGTGGTGGTGTATATATCCCTGCAAAATTACTGATTAAAAGGACTGTTAATGGAAATTCCAAGCAGTTGTATCCCCTTAGGACCTGAATGAAATGAGGAATTTTCTGAAAGCCATGCCTGAGAAAGTGGGTTGTATTTCCATGTCTAGAATGTTCTGAGGTTCAGGCGGCTGCCCGGTTATTTGTTGTAAACAATTAATGTAATTGAAGCACGGCCGGTGTAACCTGAGTGTGTTCAGGCCAAAAAAGGGAATGTTAACTGTCTGTGGCACTACATTGTAAAATAACACCACAGGTCCTGATGTAACAGGCTTTAGAGAAGTGCTTCAGAAACCAGATTCTACATTGGACGACAAAAGTGGCGATCCAACATAGCACTAAAATTGCTTATGAAAGTGAACAAAAATGTCCTTACATTACATTTATGCATTTAGCAGATTCTTCTATCCAATGCAACTTACACTGCATTAAGTTCATGCATTCTCTTGTCTAGAAATTGAACTCATTAACTTTGCTAACACCATGCATAATGTTTGAGCAACAAGAATCCTTGATCTCATAAAATGAAGTTTATTAATATAACCATTAACTGCATTGTCAGAACAACAAGCTTAATTATTAACATGACAAGCTGAATTGGAAAACTGACAGTTTCCACTGGTTGAGAGCCACTGATTTTGGGAAATAATGCACAAGAAGTATTTTTTATAAAGTATCCCATATAGCCTAGCCAAAACATTTCCTGCGGGATTAGTTTGTCTTCTCCGGTTAGTTTGTCCCCATAGGTGAATTCCACCAGAGATAAATCAGCTCAACTTGAATTTACATGTTAAATCTATGCAGCCTCACTTCCACAAATGTTTTGAACACCAAATCCCTGCTGCGAGAGTTTATAGGTAAATTTCAAGGAAGATCTACAGTCATTCTTTGTTATAGTCTCTGGTTTATGTGGCTTAAATCAGAATGTCACTAGATAGCTTGCTAATGGCGTCTTCTGTCTTTAGATCACCACGAAGGAGGATGTAAACTCCAAACATGGCACGTCCATCACCGCCAGCCTGGAGCCAGAGACTTTTAAGCCCAACCTGAACGAACCCAGTGACCTTCTGGAGGCCGAGCAGATCGAGAAGGTAAGCGTGCAGTGACGCGGCAGTGAAATAAATCTGCCCACTGCTGCGGGCTTTACAGTGTTTCATCGATCTGCTGGTCCAAAAATAGGTAGCCCTCCTCACTGTTCACCGGTTATTGATTCTCAGACATGTTAACAGACAGATTTATTCACACTCGTCATGTTATGGCCAAGGGCATAGGAATGATTTGAAAAGTGAAGGTGACTGTTCTTGACCCATAAATGATTATTCACCCTCATGTCATTCGAAACTGATATGATTTTCTTTCTTCCATGAACCTGAGCAGAATGTTCATGCTTACTATTTTCCATTTAAAGGGGTCATATGATGCGATTTCAATTTTTCCTTTCTCTTTGGAGTGTTACAAGCTCTTGGTGCATAAAGAAGATCTGTAAAGTTGCAAAGACTAAAGTCTCAAATCCAAAGAGATATTCTTCATAAAAGTTAAGAGTCAGCTACACCTGCCTAAAACGGCTCGTTCTAACACGCCCCAACATACCTACGCCGCTCTGTAGGAAGATTTGCATAACGCCGCCCAAATGTTCACACAAAGAAAGAAGGCGTAACTTTTATTCTCGCTGTAGTTTTGTTGTTTCCGCCGCAATGTCGTAAAGATGCTGTGTGCTTCGTTGTAAAAGCGAAACTACTTTGTTTGGTCTTCCAAAAGAGGACGATATCCGCTTCGTCATGCCTGGAGCTGATCCGTGCTGGTCGCTGAGGAAATACTACAACTTTGCGCTGTGGATCGCCGGATCGGCTTTCACCGTGGAGGAAGCGGAGTCCAGCCCGGAGTCGTCACATGTCTTCCGGACGTTCCTTTTACAATACAGATTGTGTCAAAGCAGCTTTACAGTGTTAAACAGGAAAATAGTCTGTCGATAATGCAAAAGTGTGTTGATAATACTAGAACAGAATGATCTGAATTCTTCCACCAATGTGGACAGAATACTGTATTAAAGGTGACATATCATGAAAATCTGACTTTTCCAGGTGCTAAGTGCTATAATCAGGTCCAAGGTGGATCTACCAACCAAGGAAACGTGAAAAAGATTAACCTAGTAACTTTGTTTTGGGAAGCCTTTCTCTGCAAGCGTCTGAGAAAACAAGCTATATATACTGTTTTCCATATGACCAGGATATAAAATTAAGAACTGGTTCACCATAAAAAATTGTCTGAATTTTAAGATTAGTAGTCACGTCAGGACAAGTCACCTTTATTTATATAGTGCTTTATACAATACAGTGTCAAAGCACTGTGTTAAAGACATATCATGAAAATCTGACTTTTCCAGGTTTTAAGTGCTATAATCAGGTCCAAGGTGCATCTACCAACCAAGGAAACGTGAAAAAGATTAACCTAGTAACTTTGTTTTGGGAAGCCTTTCTCTGCAAGCGTCTGAGAAAACAAGCGCGTCTGATTCCGCTCCCTTGGTGACATGGCAAAGGGATCTCATTATAATATTACCGTCACTTAATCTGTAAATTTACACCCACGGCGCCGTTATTGTGTTTTCGCAAGAGAGCAGCAAAAGATTTTATTTATTTGTTTGTTTATTTATTTATTTTTGAGTTGTGGGCTTGTAGTGAGACATGATTCTGATTCAGTCTGAATCACAAACAAATGACTCGTCTTAAGTCAGTTCTTTTAAATAAATCGTTCAACAAGAAATTGTTGTGTGGATTCAGAACCATAATTTTTTCCATATGATTTCAACCTTACATATGACTGTGCCCAAGTGTTCTGAAGCCATACGATTGAATAAAAATTTCAAATTTAAAAATGATACCTTGGCAACTAACTGAAATAAAACAAGTTGAAGTACTAAAATTACTAAAACAAAACTAAAATAAAAATGAATTGAAGCTATATAAAAAAAATTTTTTGTAAAAACCAAACATGACAAAAGCACATAACAAAATTACTAAACTTTGAAATATAGAATATTTTCTAAATTAATGAACACTATAATAGTATCTAAATAATACAAAAATAACACTGAAACAGACAAATTTTAATCTCATCCAGAAAGACAGCATGACTGTGTTCATACTCTTTTTGGCTGTCGTTTAATGAATGCTGCAGTTGTCAGAGACTTTGTCGTAAAATTTGTACATGACGTCCTGATCTTTTGATCTGATCTTACTGTGCTATTTGCGATGTGTTTTGTAGTGAAGCTTCAGAGGTTTTGTGCGGTTATGAGGTTTAAGTCATTGCGCCCTGTGGGTGCGCGCCTTTCAAACGCATCAGCGCTCTGTGAATGGATCACCTGGGGTGGCCTCTCGCAGAACCCTTTATTCAGACATAGGCCCATTTTATTGGTAAATCAAATAAACTTGTGTCATTACGCAGAGTAATTCAATGCTCCCCAAGCGCTGGGAAAGCCTGGACCTGCCAGAGCACTGCACACGAACATGTGTTGAGGAAACACAGCATGTGCCGCCCGCTGTGTGTGTGTATATATATATATATGTGTGTGTGTGTGTGTGTGGTGTTCAGCTTCTCTGTGTCTACTGGTGTGAAAAGGTCAGTGCTACTGTAATTGGGCTTTTAATGTTTCGCCCTTTCTGCTGCTCTGATTTTGCACACATCTATTATTCGTTCTCCACCTTCATACTGCTCCGTTCGTAAGTCATGTTCTCCTGTTTTCCAATTTTTCTTTATTTTTATTTACAGATTACATCAAAGTATTACAATTATTCAGGAGCACAGAAACTTGTCAATGCTGTCCCACGACTTTTATCAATAAAGTAGCTTTGCTACAAAATGCTACAATAAATTTCTCAGCAACAAAGTGGTAACATTGCTGTTATTAAAGTAATTATACTCATTATTTATTCAAATATATGTAATGTTACCATGATACTTTAATTTATTTCTGAATTCCAGATCTGACTTTTATTTATATCTATTCTGTCAAATTTTTTGCGTCAAATATCGATGAAAGCTTGTCCGTGCTGACAAGTGAACATAGTGTAAGCAGGATACTCCAAAGCTCCAAAGTCTACGGCAATATTATTTTTAGCATTATTTATATACTATTATAGTTTTTAATAATATTTTGAATTAACTTTTATATTTTATATTTTCAATTTTTTATTTGAATTTCAAGTAATTTCATGTGTTGTTTTTTTTTATATTACTAGGTTAAACCTGTTAACTGTCGATTGATTGAGCACAGACCTGAAAATGACATTTCTAGCTTAATTTGTTATAAATCTCAAGTGCTTTGGAGCACAGACTTAAGTTTGGTATCTTTTTAAAAAAGACACTTGGCAGATTATCGTAGAAGTGAAAAAAGTTATAAAAATGACAATTTAAAAAAAGTTATGGAAGTTACATTTATTCTGTTTCTAATCAGTTTGTTTTTAAAAAATTTTATTATTTCCAGTTTTAGTGCTTCATCTTAAACTTCTAAAAATCTTTAGTTGCCAAGTTAAAGGTCCCATATTGTCAAAACTGAAATTTCCTGGCTTTTTTCACGATAACTGAGGTCTAGGGGCTATTTAACTACCATATAAGTTTCAAAACAGTCAGTCCACAGTAAAATGCACACAGCCTGCATAAAGTAGCTGTGATTTTTCACGAACCGTTGTGACTTCCGTAAAAAGTTGACGTCAGAAGTCACCGCCTTCAGTCACCACCCCGAGCACCGCCCACCGTCCCACTCTCCTTTTGCCAAACCCCCAGACAACATCGCGTCCATGCCATTGCTGAGCAACAACAACACGGAAACATGTCGAAAAGGTTAACTTTAACCACGAAACCAGATCGGCCGACCTGTAACATTACACTCTCACTCAAAGAATGGACGATCTGATGTCTATGCAGGGTCAGGATTGTGACTATGAGGTGGATCACATCTAACGTGTATAGTAAAGACAAACTCACCGTGTCTATCTAGTCATGATGAAGATGTATATACATTTCAATTTCAGCAGGCAACTATTTTTACAGCTACATTATTGCTCCAGCCACAATTAATCACCGCAATGTATATACAATTACAAATGATTATATATAAATCGTCAGTTTGTTGTTTCACTGGCACCCAACATCACAATAAGATGATATTTTAAGCTCCTTATGTAGCCGAATTTGCGCTGGTTTGAATGGGCCGCCTCCAGTTTCCCCTTTGTTTTGCTGCCTCCAGCGAGCGCTGTGACGTCGGCTGACCCTAGTTACCTGTGGTTGGCCTGGCCGTGCGTCACTCAGAAAACAACAGGCCAATCAGAAGAGAGGCTCATGAATATTAATTAGACAGGCCAAAATCGACCTGTTCTCAGCATTGCTCCTGAGAGAGGAGCTGTAAAAATATATTGAGATGGTATCTGGTACTTATACCGCAAATATATATTCTTAAGGACATCAAGACTTAAAATAAAACTCCAGAAAGGTGTAAAATATGTGACCTTTAACATTTCTCATTTTTGTAGTGGAAGTTCATCTAGTATTTACAGTGCATTTTATTTCAGCTTTATTTCAGTAAATGCTTTAATAGTTTTAATTTTACTTAACTATAATAAGGTTCTTTGCCTATATGTCATGCACTAAAATCATAAAATCACACCTAGTCATGCATTATCCCTAACTTAGTCCCTGTTTTTCACTCAGCTGGCAAAGCATCTCCCACCCAGAACCATCGGTTACCACTGGAATCTGGCCTTCAGCACATCTAAACACGGCATGAGCATTAAGACGTTGTACCGGGCCATGCAGGATCAGGACTCTCCCATGCTGCTGGTCATCAAAGACAGTGATGGACAGGTCACACTCTTCTCTTTATCTCTCACAAGACCTTGGTTTCAGACCTTGACACAGGATTAGAAAAATACAACAGTATTAAAGCACCAAAGTCAAGAGCTCTCGTATGTCATGTGACCAGAAACACTGTAAAGCTTTTGGTTCAGTGTTTCTTAATCTGATCTGGTCTCTGTGCTCTTGCAGATATTTGGGGCTTTGGCATCAGAACCCTTCAAAGTCAGTGAGGGTTTCTATGGCACAGGAGAGACTTTCCTGTTCACCTTTTATCCAGTGTTTGAGGTTTGTGTTCAGTTTATCTATGCATTTTCATTACAGGCAGTATAAGCCATCAGTTTGAAATGAATTCTGATCTTGTCTGTCATTTGGCGTTTTCATAAAGACTTTCATGTGCAAAATTCATTATAGGATTTACTGAGTTTTCTTGTTCTAAAATGCTTTTTTTTCTCACTGGCAGGCGTACAAATGGACTGGTGATAATCTGTTCTTCATTAAAGGAGACATGGACTCTTTAGCCTTTGGAGGAGGAAGGTCCGTGACTCAGGGGCTGTTTAACACCAGAGACCTCAACAATAATTAATGTTATAATGTTTTGAATGCTGATTTTCATTAGGCATGTTTGTGTAAGACAAAAATGAGTATGCAAATGTGAATGTGAAAGTTTGCACATTGCACGCTCATTGTCTCTTTACACAAACTAAATATGCAAGTTTTTTTCTCAGTGCTGAAGGGGTAAGAGTGTTTGTTTCAAGTGTCTGTGCCGTTTAGACTGGATGTGTTCAGGTAGCTAGCTATAAAAATGCTGTTTAACAAACCTGATCAGCAATTTTCTTTTTCGAAGCGTTTTCCATGACAGTAGTTGATTTGAAACAGAAAACTGCCCGTAGCTGGTGACAGTTTATACTAATGCACACTATTGCTACTTATTTTAAGAAAAGTTTGGGGTCATTATGATTTTTGAATGTGTTTGTGAAGATGTCTCCTATACTCACCAAAGCTGCATTTGTTCAACATTTGATTAAAATATAATTTGATTTGATAATATTTTTGTGAAATATTATTATAAATTAAAATAACTGTATTCTATTTTAATATATATTGTGTCACATGATCCTTCAGAAATCATTCTAATATGCTGATTTGCTGCTCAAGAAACATTTATTATTATCAATGTTGAATACAGTTGTGCTGCTTCATATTTTTGTGGAAACCGTGATACATTTATTCTTTAATTAATTTTTTTTTTTTTTTAAATACAGCCATTTTTTCAAATAGAAATCTTTTTAAAACATTTTAAAATTTTATTTTATTTTTCGGTTACTTTTGATCAATTTAATGCATCTTTGCTGAATGAAAATGTAAAAAAAAAACTTACTGATCCCAAACTTTTCAGCAGTGGTGTATGTAAGGGATAATCAACGGTTTGCCGTGCATTAAAGGATTTTAAATGCACGACGTGGAGGCAAAGAACCACCCGACGCGAAGCGAAAGTGCATTTAAAATCCTTTAATGCAAGGCAAGCCATTGATTATCCCGCTTATTCCATGGTCATTTGCCAAGTTTTAGACAAGTTAAAACTAGTATTGCTCTTTGCAGCGCAATATTTGACCGAATGGGTGAAGATTACGGTTATTTTCGTCAGTTACGGCTCGTTAGCTATTATCAATTGCATTGTGGCATATCAGATAAAAATGAAGTTTGTGAAGGATTTGTATCCAAGTACTTCTGTAGAGTGTTTTGCACTGTTCTTAAGCGTGTCTTACAAGAGAACGAAGGTTTGATTAGAGACTGTTTTCTTCTGTTTCAGTGGTGAGTTTGGGCTTTGGCTGGACGGGGATCTTTATCACGGTAGGAGTCATTCATGCAAAACCTTCGGGAATCCCATGCTCTCCACGAAGGAGGATTTCTTCGTGCAGGATATTGAGATCTGGTCGTTCGAGTAGCAGCTCACACAGAGGTACCTTTTTGTTGAGAGAGGAATCGGACACCAGGCAGATCCCAAACCTTACTGCACATCACCGCGGCTCCCAGGAAGCCCGTAACGGACGCTACTGTTACCGCGCTTGTCGTATGTTACTCCTGCATTTAATACAGAGCTCTTCTTTGTGCTGTTTAGTATGTGTGTGTTTTGTTCAAGCCGTGTGCAGCGTCAATAACCAACGGGACCCCCCGAGCACTTTTAACATCGAGTGGAGATGAGGATGATGGTGGTGGCGGCATGGGGTTTGGGCTACCCGAGAACTGCCATAGTCCAATTTACCTGAGCCAAAGCGCCAGGAGTCTGTTGAAGAGATGGTGTTAGCCGATAGGATGTCACTACTATTGATGGGGGGAAAAGAAATGCAAACAACTGAAAACACATTCCCTTGCTCTCAGAGGAAGAATAGGCATTTTTGGGACGGCGACAGATGGCGGTGGCATCCGCGAAAAGACGATAACACATCCGTAGTTTCTTTTGAGGCGAAATATTCAAGTGTCGTGAAATTCGTAGTCTTTCTGTCGTTCGCTATCATAGCACACCATGTCGAAGCACATAATCGGAAACCCCATAGTCGTAATGTTCTGTTCAGTGGGTTTTACGTGTGAGTGTGGCTAACGTCGACCCCTCCACTTCGGAAGGGTCGACTTTTACTGTTCGTAGGCAGAAATGTGTCGCAATATATTTGTGGAATATGCAAATTCCTGTCCTGTGACCTCAAATAATCCAGACGGGGTACTTTTGTTTTCCCCGTTTCTCTTTCCGAGAGACCTTTTACGTCTTGACGGATTAATTGCTTTTCTGGGTATCATTTGAAAAGCCTGAGACGTGGTTTAATTGTTTTTCATGAATATAATGACAATTCTATATTTATGTATATGATTATATATATAAATTCATATATATAATATACAAATATATATATAATGATATATATATATATTGCTGTTAAGTGTGACAGTGATCTTTTTTGTGCTGATATCTCAGCTGTTACTAATATATTGTATATTATCCTGTAAATTAATGTTAAAATAGTAGATTTGTTCCTATATATATAAATATATTAACGAATATACAGTGTGTGGATTGGTGGGTTGCTTCTCGCACTTTATAAATCTAGTTTCAAGCCAGGTTCTTCAGGCCTCATTAGCAGTAGCAGTACAGTATATATTTTTGTTTATTTGTCTTTTAGATCATAGAGTAAATGAATCGTTTATAAAGAGCTTGCTGCTACTGTGGAGAGGAAAAGTCTCAGCGGTCGAGCACAGGGTCGAATGTGACGGACTCCAGCAGGGAAAGTCTCTTCTTCTCACATGTCCTGTCCCAGCGTTTAGTTTTTTTTCTTTTGGTTTTTTCGGTGTCTAGATTGACTGTGCGCACAGCGAGAGGAACACATACATCCTTTCAGAGTCGCAGACGAGAAGTGCAACAAATTCTTCATCTACTTCACCGGAATATAATGTTACAGTGATGTATAAAGAACAATGAATACTAATAAATCGTTGTAACCTGGGACAGAATCAGGTCTCTTATGGTTTTTATTTCTTCGGTCTGGTCTCTTCACCACAGAATAAGCAAGTAAATTAATTCATTTTTAATGCTGACTCCTCTTTTAAAAAAGTATCCTGCTAATACCATAGTATTTTGGAAGGTAATACAAAATGTCAAACATGTTTGTTAAATACCGAACATGCAAATATCATGTTATATGAATATGGTCATTCATATAACATGGCATTCAGTTATTCAGGTTTGTGGTATATATATATATATATACTTAAACTATAACTTTACTATGGAACCACCATGCTACTATGGTAACACTGTTGTGTACGGAGAAAATGATTGGTTCATCATGCATGCATAAATCTCCTTAATTTGGTTCAGTCTTATGTCAGCATGAAACACTGCCTCAACCCATTTACTTGTGTAATCTGTCATTTCTGAGTGAAATTGCATATTCATCGAGAAAAAGATGTAAGGTGGTACTTGATTTCATCCATTGGCAGCTTCTTGTGGATCACCGAACCGAGGGAGGGGCTGAAAAGGTAAGCGGCATTCGTGACGTCGGCAGAAAGTAAAAATGTCTCCTAGATCAAGTTATTTAAATTATTTATTCTGATTAAATAAATTACAGATACATGATAATAGCGGTATGAATAGCCACATTCTTAACTGCAAAAATTAAATGTAATTTCAATTCACATCAAACGACACCGAGAGTCTCTGATTATGATGATATGATATGATATAACACTTTATTGTCAGACGAGTCTGAAATTTTTCTTGCTTGACAGTATCTGTGTTTACAACAATCAGCATCCTTTAAACAACAACATACACTTCATCCACACAAACAAACCACAATATACATTACACTCCCTTAAACATTACATTATGCCTTACCCTCCTACTACACTTCTACAACTACACCATGTTCACATTACTCTTGATTTTTGATTAAGTGTCTTATTCAGCTCCAGGATCGCCTGATGCACAGAGTGTTTCAGTCTAACTTTGTTGAATCTTGGGACTCTGTACCTCCGGTTTGATGGTAATAATTCAAACTCATTATGCAGAACATGATTAGGATCAGAAACTATCTTGTTAGCCAGTCCTAACAAATTATTATAATAAGCGGAATCATAGAGCTTCTCAAGGGGCTGACCTACAATCCTTGAGCAAATTTTTAATTGATTGAACAGCTTTGTTTTTAGCATAACAGACAAACTCCTATACCAAATGGAGTTGCAGTATTGCAGTACACTCATTATCACAGACATAAAGAACAACAGAAGAATCTGCCTTCTTACTCCGAATGACCTAAGACGACGAAGAAAGTAGATTCTCTGCTTTGTCCTTTTACAGAGAGCATCAATATGATCTTTCCATGATAACATATCATCAATCATCACTCCTAAATACTTGTATGTTTTAACCTGTCTGATTTTTCCATTATGAATAAAAACAGGCGTTATATAAGTATCAGATGTAGACCCAAATATAATCTCTTCTGTTTTACTTATATTAATAACAAGATCATTGTTCTCACACCACTCTACTAATTTAGTCACACCCTGTTGATGAAACCCAGGACTGTCCCCGTCATTCAACACAGATATTAAAACAGTGTATATATATATATATATATTTTTTTTTTTTTTAAACAATTTTTTTTTATATATATATTTACATATATTTTATTTTAGTAAAAATCTGGAACAAAAAATTTGATTATGATATATGATATGATATAACACTTTATTGTCAGACGAGTCTGAAATTTTTCTTGCATGACAGTATCTGTGTTTACAACAATCAGCATCCTTTAAACAACAACATGCACTTCATCCACACACAAACAAAACACAATATACATTACACTCCCTTAAACATTACATTATGCCTTACCCTCCTACTACACTTCTACAACTACACCATGTTCACATTACTCTTGATTTTTGATTAAGTGTCTTATTCAGCTCCAGGATCGCCTGATGCACAAAAGAATGTTTCAGCCTAACTTTGTTGAATCTTGGGACTCTGTACCTCCGGTTTGATGGTAATAATTCAAACTCATTATGCAGAACATGATTAGGATCAGAAACTATCTTGTTAGCCAGTCCTAACAAATTATTATAATAAGCGGAATCATAGAGCTTCTCAAGGGGCTGACCTACAATCCTTGAGCAAATTTTTAATTGATTGAACAGCTTTGTTTTTAGCATAACAGACAAACTCCTATACCAAATGGAGTTGCAGTATTGCAGTACACTCATTATCACAGACATAAAGAACAACAGAAGAATCTGCCTTCTTACTCCGAATGACCTAAGACGACGAAGAAAGTAGATTCTCTGCTTTGTTCTTTTACAGAGAGCATCAATATGATCTTTCCATGATAACATATCGTCAATCATCACTCCTAAATACTTGTATGTTTTAACCTGTCTGATTTTTCCATTATGAATAAAAACAGGCGTTATATAAGTATCAGATGTAGACCCAAATATAATCTCTTCTGTTTTACTTATATTAATAACAAGATCATTGTTCTCACACCACTCTACTAATTTAGTCACACCCTGTTGATGAAACCCAGGACTGTCCCCGTCATTAAACACAGATATTAAAACAGTGTCATCAGAATACTTTAAAATATACTGATTTAACATGTCAGTTCGACAGGCATCTGTATACAAGGTGAAAAGGATGGCAGAACTGACGCAACCCTGGGGTACTCCAACATTTGTTATGATGATTATGATGGGTGATTGACAGGATTGTCAAAATTAGGAGGGGCAGTGCTTGTAGGAAGGGTTTTTAGCACTGATCTATAATAGATATTAGATTAGATTATATAGAGGTCATTGGTTTTGAGGCTGTTATGGCCGGTTGCCATTACCGTTTCACTCATTGACAATATCGAGAACTATGCAACTGTAGCACTGAAGAAGATGTAGAATCATGTTTAATCTTTTTATTTTGTTTATATGATCAGAGTGACGCTATTTTCATCCTGCTGGTGCAAGGGCGTCATCTGGTGGACGTATGATAATTTGCACAAAATGCAGTTATTTATTCCACAAACCTCTGTCCAATTATAAAAGAATGATAGATTTTAAAATACAAAGCCTTTAGAAAAGGTTTTCAAATGTTACTGGATCATTCCAATCTGTTATACTATTTCAAACTATATTTGACTCCAAATATATATATATTTTTTTTTTTTAAATCAAAGAGGACGAATTATATGAAAGAACGATCCATAGAGTGGCTGCATACACAGCCAGAAATACTATAAACACAGAACCTCAAACTCATGGTTAAATTATTCTTCACATTAAAGCTTTTGTCCTCTTTTCAGTAAATATCCACATGATTTTACTCTATACTTTCATTGCTCATATCATTTTTAGACTGCACTAAATGTTGACTTGAAAACAACAGAGAAAGGTAAAAATGATAATGGAAGGCCCCATGTGAAAATCGTGATAAATGGACACAAATTTTTTTTTTTAAAGTCTGAAACCGCAATAAAGCAAGGCACGTGAGGAAATCAAGTGCTTCAGTTACAAATGAGATGCAGTCCCATTGATTGTCCTTAGTGTCTTGAAAACAGCTCAAATATATACACAATTTTACAACTTAAGCAGCCTAGTGGTTTAATCTTTATGAATTAACTTATTTTGCACTCAGAAATGTAGTAAAAACACATTTCTGACTGAACAAAAACATCAACAAGAAATTAAAACTGACCAGATTTACTTAATGTACTGCATAAGAAATAGTTTGTAAATGCGGTTTCATGTTGACTTGAAAAACAAGCACAGGATTTTCCCTCATTTAATTGCAGGTTAAGGCCAATTTCACTACATCATTAGCACTTAGTGTATGAAAATATAAGGCAGGGTCTTTGTCTATTAATATCAGACACCATATGCATTTCCTCATCTGAGACTTGTTCCTTGTGCAGTGTCTGACATGAATCCCTTATTCCCAAAAAATTAGGCACTCAGATGAAGCCAACGGATGTGATAGATGTGTCACGTTCAACGACTGAAGAAATCGGTTTCTTTTTCAGTTTGAAAGAAGTTCCTTCCTAGTAAATCAGGTACTGTAACTCAGAGTAAATAAGAGGAAACATGACGGCACAGGCTCTGTACAGGATGGCTATGCTGTTGACCAGCGCTCGTGGTATCGTGAGCCAGGATTCAGATCTGAAGCTGAAGTATATGCCGTATAATGCCACAGCGGAAAAGTGACCGATCAGAGTAAAGGGTTTCGGCGACAATCTGAGGAAACAAAAACAGATTAGTGGTGTGAGAAGATCTCAGATATCTGCAAAAACCAGTGGAAGACGTCTGATTTGAGGAGCACACTGATGTTTCTCAGTGGC